TCTGGTTCTTCTTTGGTTTATAGTTCAATGCGGTATTTTACGGTCCTATTGTTGGAGTTAATGTTGGTTGTCGTCATTTTTGCTAAAGATAATGGGGTTTGGTATAAACATTTTTGCCTCATGTATGTCACTTTATCATTCTTTCAAGAGCCAATGATTTTGGTAGGGACTTTTTTTTTTTTTTTTTTGTCACTTCAACCGGTGATTCGTCACTTTTTGCTAGAGATAATTTTGTTTGGTAGGGACCTAATCCCAATGGGGATGGGCAGGTGACGGAACCGAGTTTTCGATTATGCGTGCTGGGAGAAGGAGAACGACTGTAGGAGGGTCCCCGTCGACAGAATCGCGAGTTGCCTACGGGCGCCTGTCACATGGCCGGGTCATTCTCCTACATTCGGTCGAGCTCTCTCTAGGCCGAGGTATCGCCATTTGTCCATCGTATTGAGATGAAGGAACAATCCCGAATGTTTTGTTTATATATATCTCTCCCGGCATCAGCGCCGTTTCAGGTTGGTCGGCCCTCAAGTCGACTAGGGTTGACGTGGCAGTCCTTGGGTACGCCCTAAATCAAAATTTTAAATTTAACTTTTTCGGAATCCTCCACTCGGGCGACCAGGGTCACATAGATGTGGGGGCCTGATGGTTCGTCTGGGTGTCGATGCGTCAGGAGTGGCTAGTCCCGTAGAGCGGACCACGACGCGTTTTTCCATCTCTCGCGAGGCCATCTTCGAGGCCCTCCTGAGGCGTCGATATTCGGACGATCGGTCGGTTCACCCGTCTGTGGGATGACTGGAAACCTAAGATGTCATGGCGACATATCTTGTTACCGGCTAGGGTAGTCAGGAACAAGTTTTGATTTTTTTTTACGTATATCGTCAGAACAAGAAAAATTTGCAGGCAAATTTCTTAAAGTGGGAGGGGAATTTGTAACGTTCACTTTTAGCTATCGTACCGATTTTGATAAATTGATTCACTGATTCTGCGGAGACCTACTAAGATTCAAAGTTTATTGCCTATCGCACTCTTTAATCAACTTCTGGTCAACCTCCTCATATCGTGACCTTTGTTGAGGTTTAGATGATAATGGTACCTAGGTTACTTACTTGCCTAAACTTCGCTAGCCATAATTTGATTCCTAGTACTCGGGTCTGTTTGTTTCCATACCTAAGACTATCTCATTTGAATTAGAGATCATCAAACGCTATATTTAGTATGTCGAAATCAGAGAACTCACAGTAAAGTGTACAGATCGTGTAAATATTGTACATAGTTTCATTCCGAACAAATCGACTAGCGGAATCAGTTATGAAATAATTTCAATCAAATTGATGGTTTGTTTTGGTCTAGGTGACTAGGTTAGATCATTATGTTGATCAGCTGATCGGTGGTTAGAGATGTGAATATTTCACTCGATAGTGCTGAACAGGACCACAGTATCGTGAATTGTATGTGGCTGCGGCGGGCACACTGCCTCGATACAGGACGTTCGCTTGGTGAGAATGGTGGACCTTGGTACCCATATAGTGCACGTTTGGAGTAGCTGAGTGGTTGATGACGTCATGGGTTGGATAATTGACTTCCTGCTGTTACAGGTTTATTACGAGCTGTGATGCATCTCCAAATATTCAATTTATTGTTATCATGCCCAGACTGATGTTGTCATAATAAGGTCTATAGAACTCAGGTAGTGCTTAGACACCAAGGTTTGTCATGTTCTGTACGTTTTGTCCTTGTTCGGGTCTGACAGGTGTTTCTATGCTTCTGTGGATCCAGGGAGATCAATGAAAGCTGTCACTTTGTACTTCGAAGTCTTTGGCAATGAGTAGTGAAATATGGCTGTAAGCCAATAATATTGAATTTAAATTCATCCTCTGAATGAGGGATTAGGTTTCACTCTCAAATACCAGTTTCCATGTAGGAAAATTTTTAGGTATCGTTTGAGGTATATATTTTCGGAAACTGTCCATTTTTATGGGATTATAGAGCCATTGACAAAAAGTGAGGTTGGAAACACATGTACAGAAAACCCTTTTTCAAGGGAAAAAGGTAAATTGAGTCGATAGCTGAATTAATTGATCAGTGAACTGATGGCTAAAATACTTTTCAGACCAGTATTAGTCAAGTTTTGAGTGAAATCCATCTTTTGGAATGTTGATGTCTGATGGCCCCCTTTCAGGACTCCCAGGCGGGATCATACTGTAATTATTTGTATATACTGCTGAGTTTTGAGTGATACTGCGTCCTTGAAAAAGGTATGGACTTCCAGAAGTCTGGAACCAGTGAGTATAGGACTTTCTTATGTTTCAGGGTTGTTGTGACAGATTGTTGTGACAGATTGTTGTGACAGATTGTTGTGACAGATTGTTGTGACAGATTTTTGTGACAGATTCTTGTGTTCGATTTTTGAGCCAGCCTTTTGCCTGGATTTTGAGCACTCATAGTAATGGTATACAATTTGAGCTGCTTTTGATGTTAGTTCCGATAACTGGTATCCTGTCCTGTAACTGGTATCCTGTTCTGTAGCTGGTAGCTGAAGCTGTATAGTTGAGCCAGTCTTGTAGCCTGTGATTGGACCATGGATGTCACGCAAGTTTTTCATAATCTTGTTCTGAATTATCATGTCTCATTTGGGTTGACATATTGTTCATGATTATTATCTTATGAATTTTTTTTTATGATATACACCTGTTAACGTAACAGGCACGGTTGCAACCTTGCGTTTTACGGATTTAGGTATATGAACTGGGTAGGTTATATGATATGTGCATTACTTATAAAATATAGCATAGGTATTGCTATGAATTCATGAACATTTATTTTCTGGGTGGGTTTTTATGTGGATTTTAAGGGTATGGGATAAAACTGGGATTTAATTATTATGTAACACTTGGGTGATATACAATCAGGTTTTGATTTGAACATTTAAAGTATTCAGTATTGAGGAACATAGTTGCTAGTAATATTCAGAAGCACTTCAATCTTGAATCAGTATTATTGTGTCAGGTGTTTCAAGAATATAATTATTAAATGGTATAGAGTATTGGGAAAATGTTTGTCTTTTAATTTGATAACGATAGCTGTTGAAATAAGATATTAACCATGGTAAGTGGGGTTAATATTGAATCATGGTGAGGGTATGCAGTCCACATTTACCTGGCGCCCTTATTAACATCTATTATTTTGAGTAGATCTGAACCCACTCCGTCTCCACTGCAGTTCAGTCGCGAGCCCATATCCTCTGTCAGCAAAGGACAGATATATTTGTCAATCTCGAAATAAGATTGTTACACATTATATCGGATTATTTCGAATCGTGAAAACCAATATAATACAAATGATGACCTAAGACCTATCAGGCCATAGACCATAGCATTATGATAAATTATATATTTACAATGCATTCTCGGTTACCTATATCTTATTCAGGTAGGTAAGGTCGATTCATTTATTTCGAATTGCACTCTAAAATTTTTTTGCCTGCCATAAACGTGATGCTTGTTTCGACAGACAGTTAATCAGTTCTAGACAATCGGTCCTACACGATCATTCACAATCACACGGTTCAGTTGTTTTTATTTATGGACATATAGTTCAGTTATTCTCGTGACATCAAACATTTCGTTTCCAACTATCAATCCGTTAAGATAATTTTCCAACATTCGCACTTGCACTCACACACAAGGCACTCGCGTTCGTGAAATGTGCACTCAAATTGACTGTTATTTTAGTCCGTCGCTTATTCTTAGTGCCTTCGTGACACAATTTTCACTTTGAAAAACTTCCCGCACATGAGATTCATCAGGAAGGTTAAATGCAAATGGCAGAAATGGAATTCTACTTATGATTATGACTGTGGCAACCAGAAAATCATGAATCGCATAAAACAACAGAATTACAAATAATGCACATAATAATGACAAAGACAAGTAACAAAGACAATGATGTCAATGATATATTAATAAATAATGACACATAATCATACTATCGACAAGTGACACAAGTCAATGTAAATGACAAATGACTAATGAAGACATTGACCAGCAACCAACTAGAAATTTTGAAAAAATTGGTATGAAGAGGGGAGGGAAAGTCTAATCAATCACTGTGTTCGGCTCTGGCACAAGATTCCACAAATTTCCCCTCACAAAATACAACAATTCAAAATACGTATAAATAAAGCCATATACTGACACATAATATACCATATACACCTAGACTTCTATTCCGGAATGTCGGGGGACCCATAGTATTTCTGTTGGCTAGCGTTCAGTTTTTTCCGGAATTCCCCAAACCATTTTAGATCTGATAACCATAGAGGTCAGCACTTTGATGACCGCTTGACTATCGGACATGATGATGATATTTCGTCTAGCTCAGCCTCGTGGTGAATTGTTCCAAAAAGCTTCACTTTTTCTTTATTCTGAGACAATTTCTGGATTTGCTGGTTGAGTGGACAGATTGTCCTGATCTAGATCAATCCTCTCCAACCATTCTGTATGTCATTCTCTTTGCCGCACCTGAGAAAACTTTTAGGGTCACACATTTCTCCTCCAATTACTTTTTAGTAAGTGAATATCATTTCACCTTGACCTCTTGGTGTTTCTTCTGAAATCCATCCACCAAGTGTTCCTTATTATTCTTAAGTGGACCACTCTTCTGATACTGTTCATTTATTGGTGGAAGTCAGTAGTGCAGGTCGATATTTGAAACTTCAGAGTACTAATAGGTATTATTATACCTTATTGATCTGCTTATTACATGGCATTCGTGAATCAACGAACATCATTTGACATTATCTACTCCACAAACAATTCGAAAAATACCAAAAAACATCCAACTTTTCTTAGGTATACCAGTTTCAAGATATACAAAATGAGGAGTTGAAATAATTTCGTCTCATGCAGAAAAAAAGGTTTTATTTTTCTATTCAACGAATAATATTAGACAAAGGATAGTGATGCCTCTAAACATCTTTTCAGTTATCAAAATCAATTTTGTAGGTATTGCAAAGGCTTATCAAGTCCAGGGGAAAGAGTCAAGCTAGGCATCTCAACGTCCAGATGGTTGCTTCAGAAAAATTAGCTCAATGCCCTCCGGAAATGTTTGACGTCATTTTAGACGAGAATCAATTGGAGGATGCTTGCGAGCACATAGCTGAATATCTAGAGGTTTGTCTTCATTCAAAAGTTGAAAGTTTGCAGTTTGGGCCACGATTATTTACACTAACAAGATGAAATATCCTTATGAGAGCCATGAAGCCAGAAATTTTATTCTATAGGTGGCGGTATCTATGAGGTACAATGTGAACTACTTTTTGTTGAGTAGCAAAGGGTATTGCAAAATTTATTCGAAGTTTATTCTTGAATGTTTTAATGCAAGGAGGAATGTCGAATCAGGGCCGGATTGAATTATTTTTATTTAAAAGCTTTCAGAATATCAAAGTATGTGATTCTCCCGCTTCAGAAAGGAGGATATTCCTAGATAGTTCAGCAACTTGCAGATAGGTGGACTCGAGCAGATTTCGAGAGTTTATACAAATCGGCCATATTTTGCTGAGTCATGGAGATTGATAATTTTGTTAGTGTAAATGATCAAGGGTTTGGTTGGTTATACCTTTATGTCGAATAGTTCACAATCATCAACGTCATTACAGGCTTATTGGAGAGCTACACATCCGGAAACAGGTGTTCCGAATGTACCTCGACCAATGGGAACCTCTCCTCAAGCGTCACCTAGCGGGGACCAAGGAAGACCCACATTGCCAGGTGAGTGTACTTATTGACATTGGAATTGTATGGAAACAAAATGAATATCAAACAGATATTACTAAAATATATGAATGATTCTGAAAACCTATTGATTGCACATTCCATATACAGAATGTCCCATAAGTGATGGATCAACAGAAGTGGGGTGGTTGGAGGGGGATCATTTCCAATCAAACTAACCGTATATGTGGTTATCAGATTGTTGATGGTTCAAGTTTTTTTTTTCATTTCCATAAAAAACATGAATTACAATAGAAGGTCACATGTGTGATTTTTCCTTTTACAAAATTCTTCCACATGGATGCACTTTTCCCCAGAAATAATTTGACATCTGTTACTTCTTATTCATTACCTGAGAAAAATGTTGTTTTCCTTCAGTTTTGTCATCGAATGAAATATTCAATTTGTTTTCTAAATGCCACTGGCAGATTTAAAACCTACCCCACAAAGATAACCAATTATAAGTTATTTCGCGTTTTCCAGAAAAATTAAATAACTTTCAAACCATCAACAATTTGATAACAATATATACCTTTATTTTGATTAAAAATGAACCACCTTCCACCCCACCTCTTTTGGTCCATGACTAATGAGAACCCTGGTATATTCAGAGGAGTTGAAGTACCTAACCTATACAGGGTGGCCCTTTGAAAACGAAACAGATGCTCTGTAGGTCACCAAAACCGGATCATGAAAAAACTCTGGAACACGTCAACTACATGTTTAAGGGGGGACATCGTTCTGCCCTGCGGCGTTGTCGCTTCTAACGAAAAGAAGCAACAACTTTGTTATTTCAAATGGAACACCTTGTATTTCTGAGTATTTTTAGATTCTCCCCAAAGACCTGATTTAATCAATACATCACACTTGGGATCTAGCGGCAATGATTAGAGAGCTATAGGGTGTTCAAAATCGATATTCCTCAACTTGAGGATTTTTGCGTGTAGAAACTTTTCATCATTGGTCATAGCGGCTCATATAACCCTATCTCAACTCTCGATTCACTATCTACTGACATTTATTTGAAACAAATACAGGGTGGTTCAAGATTGAGAATTCTGATCACTCTGTATCTGTTCCAATCGAATGTCAGTAGATAGTAAACCAAAAGTGGAGATAGAGACATGAGAGCTGTTTTGACCAAAAATGAATAGTTTCGACACAGAAAAGTCCTAAAGTTTAAAAATCTCGATTTTGAACATCCTATATCCCTGAAATCATTCCAGCTAGACCCCAAGTGTGATGCATTGATGAAATCAGCTCTTCGAAGAGAATCTGAAAATGCAATGAAATACAAGGTGTTCCATTTGAAATAACAAAGTTGTTGCTTCTTTTCGTTAAAAGCGGCAACGCCGCAGAACTGAAAATATTTTAGAACGATGTCCCCCTCGAGAAGGTAGTGAACGTGTTTCAGATTTTTTTCATAATCTGGTTTTGGCGACCAACAGCGTCTCTGTTTCGTTTTCAAAGGGCTATGTTGAGTGAAGAATACGAGAGATGTTTCCAAAGTTCTGGAAATTGGGCTTCAATTGAATTACGCAGAACTTGGAATTGGCGCCAAACAGGTGTTGACATGTTTTTGCAACTATCTACTGCAATATTATTCAGTTTGATTCAGGTGTTCGACTGATATATAGACTCGTTTTCATAGCTGTTTTTATAACCTTAAAAGACGCAGCAAAGTCTGAAGGAACAATAATTTTCTATTTTAGATTCACCAAATACCCTGTGCTATGAAAACGCATCTATATCAGTAGAACACTCAAGTGTATATCAGTAGAACACCTAAATCAGACTGAACAATCTGGCACCAATAACATAACCTTCAAGTCCTGCGTGATTCAAGTATAGCACAATTCCCAGAATTTCGGAAACATCCCTCCTATTTTTGCATTTTATAAAGTTACTAGAAGCATTACGCACACACAACGTTATCACGAATTTTCATCGATATATGGATAAACAAAACATGGATTATTCTCGTGTTTTGCTGGGAAGGAAGCAAAATACCTTTTGAATCTCAACTGGAGCTACTCATTGTGCATCAACGAATGAAAAATTGAAATCAATAAAAAAATACAAAGTACCTGCTGCGCAATATCGTATACTCGTTCACCTATAAAATTATTCATTTCATTTGTGTATATTGTTATGTCCATTCTTCACCACATAACTAACAAATTAACCCCTCATTTTCAGCCCACCACGATGTATATGGATACTCCCACGAATCTCGAGGTAGTCATGCAGGTGTTAGATACATTGGATTGCAAAGTTGGGATTCAGTAGACTCTTTAGAATCACTATCGTTCTTATAGATCACTGCATGATTGTCTTGATAATTATTAGTATTATTATTATTATTATGCATCACGATTCGTTATTATTCACTATGCTTGGAATTTGCTGGTTTTGCTATTTCTCTAAAAGCTACAGGGTATTATTATAAGTAGACAAAATAGTTCGTGGCTGTATCGTTATTGAAGACAACAAATTGAATCCTCATCATCATCAGCATCATTAACAAGTGATAAGTAGGTTATGAGTAATTTCAAGTACCTTTCATCCTCAACGATAAACTATATATGGAAAATAATCGTGAGGCAACTTTCAGGGTATGAGTGGAGGTATCCGTCAGTGTAGTTATAGTTCGACCATTCATTTATATTGATTGCCATACATGAATAACGATATTTCGACCACGAACTATCAGATAATAATGTCATTAATGGTAATATGCACAAATTAGCTAAATAATGTACGATGTGCGGGTCCAATGCAAATGTGATTTAATAAATTCCTCAATACACACGCTAGTTTTTCTTTCATTTATTCTCATAATAATGATTTTTCAGATTTTTCTGGTTCTATGACTCCCATCCCAGCTCATATTTGATAGACACAGATTGAGACATATACAGATCCAGTTGATGTATGCTTGTTTATAACGTATGTTTTTTCTTTTCCATTGACGATTTTGCATCGCTACATTCTAATCGCAACGCTTTCTGCTAAATTGCACTCGCAAATGAAAATGCAGGAGCACCTGGTAAGATATGGCGAACTGGCTCTATTGATCTTTTCGCTTAGCAGAAAAAAAAGCTTGTAAGTTTGGTTTGGTTGAAATCTGTTGTTTTTCTGGATTTTGTAATTTCTAATTTTAGTTAGATTTTCTAGTTAGATTTTATGCGTGCACTAAACATACCAATCAAGAGCACTCTAAATGATGGAAGAGGCATAACTATAATGCGAAAAAGTCATCAAATAACTGCAGACTATGCTCACCAGTTGAGAAGTGGCGACACTGAAATTCTTTTGAAGTTTGTTGTTCGGGAACTTGCAGAGATTTGGATTATTTCCTTATGCATCGAAAAAAATCCATCGAGATTCACCTACCTTTCAAATTTTGTGCATTCGTGTGATCGAATTCTCTTGTACCCCAACGCGCCATGTTATCTTTTCTTTTCCTCTTGACTCCTACCAATATCTGTATTCTTATAAGTGATTCGAGTCGTGTATTCTTGTACAGAAAATTAATATATTGGGATGAAACCAGAAACAAAATGTTGATGACAGTTTCAAATTTGGGCGTTTCGAACCTGAATCACCCACCCGTCATTCTCTCGGTTTGATAAGCTGTAAGTACGAATAAATCTTTCATAATTGTGAAGACATATGACAATTCTGAGAACATTCCTCACGTAAGGCTTGAAATATCATGAAAGGAGAAAATAAACGAGATCTTTTGAACACCATACTTCAGTAAAATATCCAGTGCCCACTTGTTTGCTGATGAGTATAACTATCCCACGTTTGATAATTGATGAGGACTTGTCGAATTATTGCCGATATATTTTTAATATTAATAATTGAATCAGAACTCACCCATCAACATCATCACAAATGTTTGATTTTCAATTGTTATTTATACCCAACAATATATTATCACAATATCACTGTTGCGATTCTGCAATGTGTCAGAAAGTCTCGAAACACTGGCAACACAACGCACCCCCCCATATCTTTGATACCGATGTGTACTATGCAGTTTCTTCCTTCCACGCCATATTTTAGCAAAATACCAGGTGCCCACTTGTTTTGAGATACGAATAGATACCCCACTAAAGACTTGTTGAATTATTCTAGATATATTTCAAGAACTCGCACATCAACACCATCATGAATAGTTGATTCTCACTTGTTATTTTATCCAATACAATCCCAGTTCGGTCTTCAAAATATACCACTTACCACACAGAAACCAACGAGAAGTCGCAGACACCACACCCACTTTCGGATCAATCTGACAGCACAGCTAGGGTTTGCAATCATGGAGTGATAATACAATCCCGGGATTCCGGGATCGAATTGATACGAACCCGGGATCCCGGGATTTCGGTATCGGGATTAGAATTTGAAAAAAGTATGGGGTATACTGTAGATACGTAATGATCACATAAATACTCGTACATGAACAAAAAATTTAATCAATACATCAAAAAGTACAGAGAAAAAAGGCCGAACATTTATTCCTGTTGACTGGACCAGGAGCGTACAAAAATACACTTATAAAGGGTATTATCTGCGAGTCGAGTGCTGATTTTTGTGCAAATGGTACTAGCTGCGGAAAATACTCTTTCATATTCTACACTTGTGAGTGGTATAGTTGTTAGAAGGTATGTATCTTTGTTGTCACCATTTTCGAAAAGGGTAATTTTCTTTGTTATATAATATCTATATAAGTTGAGTCGGTGACACACTCGGTGACGCTTGACTCGCAAGAGAAATTCTATATTCCTCATCATCTTGTCCATCAATTATTGCCTCTGAAACTATTAATAAACGTTTTGTATGACTCACGAGTATCTCCATAATAACTTTTTTTCAGGAACCTCGAATAATAATAATCTGACTCACTTGACGAAAGCGAAGTCTTATTGTTCAAAGTAATCCCGAAAATCCCGGGATCTAATCGGATGTGATCCCGGGATTCTCGGTATGAAAATATCACTAGGACCCCGGGATTTCCGGTATCGGTATTTCGGGATTGCAAACCCTAAGCACAGCACACGCCCCCATATCTCTGACCGATGTGTCCACTATTTTGCCAATGACTATACATAACCCACGTCTGTTAGATAATGAAGACTTTTGGATATTGGATGAGAACTGACACTTCGAAATCATCACCTGTTATCCAAACCCAATATAATACAATACAATACACAAAATATATTATCATAATATCACTGTTGCTCAACATGATTCTCGACACGTCCTTTGGACAGTCAGAATTCTGCAATGTGATTCCATAACGGTTTCGTCAAATACACTCCTCACTAACTACACACAAAACAACAAGAAGTTGCAGATACTCACACTTTCATATCAATCTGGCAACACAGCGTACAATCATATATCTTTGACAGATGTGTTCTATGCAGTTTCCTTCTTCCACACCATATTTCAGCAAAATATCAGGTGTTCACTGTTTTTTCGATAAGTATAGATACCCCACAAGTATGATCAATAATAAAGACGAAGACTAGTTGAATTATCTCCGATATATTTCAAGAACTCACACATCAACACCATCATGAATATCTGATTCTCACTTGTTATTCATACACAATACAATTCCAGTACGGTGTGCAGAATATACCAGTAACCACACACAAACCAACAAGAAGTCACAAGACACGCCCACTTTTGGATAAATCTGGAAGCATAGCGCACACCCCCATATCTTTGACCGATGATTTTCATGCAGTTTCCTCCTTCCACGCTATACTTTAGCAAAATATCAGGTGTTCACACTTTTTTCTATAGGTATAGTATCAGAAATAAAGACTTGTAGAATTATTCCCGATATTTGTATTTCAAGAAATCACACATCAACACCATCATACATATTTGATTGTCAATAACTTGTTATATTTACCAATACAATTCTAGTACGGTGTGCAAAATATACCACTAACCACACACAAACCAACAAAAAGTCGCAGAAACTTGCACTTTCGGATCAATCTGGCAGCACAGTAACACGCCCCCATATTTCTTACCGATGTGTTCTATGCAGTTCCCACCTTTCACACGGGCCATCCCAGAACGACCCGTGCCCGCCTCGAAACAGATCGCAGCTTCGACGAATACTCCGACAGAGACGCCCACCACTATCAGCCCGACGAATACCGCTCGACGACGCGCGAGCCCCGCCCCCGAGAGGAGGAGTTTCCCCCCCACCACCGGAGCTCGTCGCGCAGAGCGCTCAACGCCATATAGTGGAGGCTGTCAACGGAGCAGCCGATCGAAGAGGAGATCCATGACGATCCGTCGCCCACGACCGCCTACTACCGGCCGCAGATACCACGCGAGTACAGGGACATGCGAAGTGATCGCGAGAGGCGGTACGACGACACGCTGGCCGGCCACGCCTCCAGGTGTCCGGACGAATCGGCGCAGGGGACGAGCGCGAGTAGGCGGTGCCTGGCGGATAGGAGTAAGGCGGAGGGAAGGAATTATAGGCGGGAGTTGATGGAGAGGTTCGCCGATATGGAGATCGAGGATCGTCATGAGTTTTCGGGCCGTAAAAGGTACTACGAGTGAATCGGGCGGGTGGTCTAATCGGTTTGGTCTGGAAGTCACCTCAAAGTCGATATAGTATATTTCTCTGCGAGTTTGGAAACAGGGATTTTTTCGTGCGTGTGTGACAAATTCTCGTGTGGGGCGAAGCCGAATTCGATAAGTCATGCGAGCACGAAAAAATCAATTCTGGACGTGAAATTAACGTCATTTTTCATCACACTTTCTTTGATGAAAATGAAAATAAAATAATGAAATATTACATAGAAAAGACATTTGGAACATTTTCATTTTCACAGTAGCAGAAAAGAAGAAACTGATGCTGAAGATGCTGACAATACAGTGTTTGGCATGTTTCTATGGTTATTCTCAAAATGTTCGTTTTATTTCAGATGAAGATAACGTGATATATCGAAGAAGTATAATAAAAACGTGTCTTTCGTCCTACCTCAAATTCAACTTGTTCGAATGTTCACTGTCTAATTATGATATATTTTTCATTGAAAATGTCGTAGGTAGATTCACAAAATTCGAATTGGTCACTCTGCAATGATTAGTTTGTAGAGAAATACCAAGAAAGAGTTCCATACTAGTTGTTGCGGAATAAAGATGAAGATTGTTATATGGGCCTTCGAGCCGGATCATGTAAAAATATTATTTGCGGTATTGAAAAACTCTTTCTTCTCATCCACACTTCTCTATAGTTTTCTGTCAAAATATTTCTTTTTTTGACAAAATTTCGATAGCATATAAAATTTGACTACATCAATAAACAATACGATGAAATTTAAAAATATTCATCTTCATTCCATAACACTAATGTCGACTGATGTTCGCCCTACTTTGGATCTTCAGAAGGTAGCTTCTTGTTTGAGATCCCTCCGATTAAAACGGCGTAATATCAAATCCATTTTCTTCTTCTGACGATTTCATTTACGTCCCAATGACTTTTTCAATATGGTAGCATTGCTCCTTCTCATCATCATCAACTGAATTATTTTCGATAAATCATCTTCTCGAATTTTCATTTCAGAATGATTTCTGATTTGATGCTACAATGATCATCTTAATTTATAAATGAGCCAATTTTTGTCAAGTTATGTTGAATTGCCTCGACAAGTGATAATGCTATCGAACTACTTCTGAAACTAACTCCCAAACAGTTCGAATGATCCAGCAAATATACAGAGTAATTCAAAAGTACTTTGACAAACTCCTGGAGGTGATTGGTCACAATGTTCTAATATGAATTGCCCAAATGAGTATATGCCCGAAAACGCTTCTCAAGATACAGGGTGTTGAAGTTTTATTTTTCTTTTTTTCTAAATAACTTTTTTGAGCGGATTTCTAGCATATTTTTTAGTAACTCGTGTTAGAAGGCGCAATTAGCAACCGTTTTCTGAGCTGGACTTGGATATTTCGAGTCGGTTATTAGATAATCGATGCATGTTGAAGTTATCACCATTATTTTGCATTTTTCACAAGAATGCTTAGGAGATGAATTTGACGTTTGAGTAGTTTTGGTTATTAAACAATTCAACGTTTTGTTGAAGTTTCGGTGAGTTTCAAAACACTAATTAATAAACAAAACTTCAACACCTTGTTTCTTGGAAACAAAGCGTTTCCAAGCAATTCATATTAGAATATTGTGAGGAATCTCCACTTGAAGTTTGTCGAAGTACTTTAGAATCACCCTGTTTCCTTCAATACGGAGAGATTATAATAAATTCCACTTTCAGCATAATTGATAAGAAGGTAGATTTCCAAAGTGGGACTGACTAGAGATGATAGGAATGAACATAATACCCAATCGATAGAAGTGTTGAACTTCACTGTCGATATCTTGAATCTTATCATTTGTCTCATGATGCTAATCACATCAGATGAAGAGTTATCAACAATAATTCTGGTAGCAAAATCAACTCATAACATTAAAATTTCAAAGTACACATTTCTTTTGATATAACTTCATCTGGCCTATAATATCTGATAATTTCTAACTTAAGTACTAGTTGTCAAATAGTTTGAAAATTTTTTTTCGAAGATGGTGAGGTCATTTCCAGAACATGTCAACTGAAATCTTGAGTAAATCCAAAAGATGAAAACACTCGTAGGATCATTTTCGGAATTCTTCGATGGGATGTTCCGTTGTGAATGGGATTATCGATAAACTAAAAAAAAATGACCATTTTGGTGCCATATTTGAGTAATAGCTCAATTTTTAATCAATCTTATTAAAATGGGAGAATATATTCAAGCTTTAACATATAGCTGTATCTAGGATTTTTGAATTGGTTTTCAAGGAAGGTTATATTGTTGGAAACCGTAACAAATTAATGTATTTTATATATTAATGTATAATAACTTGAAGAGAACTGAGATATTATACCTTAAAGGAAAGTGTACTCTATATTGGAGGGGTATGTATTATATTTTGCTTAATTTTCATATTTCTAATCAAAGTGGCTACTAGTCGAAACACTCATTAAAACTGAGTACTGATGTGAAAATTTCGCGTTGAAAATAAAAAAAACAATCCGTCTATCGATGACCAAGTTTGGAAATATTGGAAAGCAATTTATACTCTGCTTATTTTTAAGAACAGGTTTTACTATTCAACTCTCATAACTATTAAACAGTCCATAAATTACTATAAAAGTGAAGTGATTAATTGTTCGTTTGATTGGACCAGTAGCTACTTCCAATCGTAAAAACTACGTGATATTGTCAAAGTATTTGACTGATTCTAGGAAAATTTAGATGAAGTTTGCACAGCTGACTATACGAAAACATTGCAATTCGGAGAATGAAACAGAGTTAAGTAATTCATCAAAAGTTTAAAATGATACAACCTATTTCGTGGATTCAGAATTTCAGAACCAATGCCACTAAATCAAAATGAGGAAGTCAGAATTCGAATCTACTGGAGAAATAAAATCATCTACTTGCTTGGCATTTAATATATTTACGCCAACTAAAAACATGGCTACGGTAATCAGAAATACTCATCTCTTTAATCGAGAAGAAGGTGAGGTCTGAGTAGAAGTGTGATCTAAGCATGAAGGTTTAGCCTATCAGGAAGTCGTGTTTTGGATGCGAAGTTACTGAACAAATTTAACCTCCATGCGTAAACAATTTTGAGGCTGAACTCGCATAGCTTATCTACTGAAGTGAAAACTGGAAATCTGACCACGAAATTCTATATATTCGAAGAGCATGTGCCAAGAATTGTGGCATAATCACCGACCAATTTCAATACACTATAACGAGTATTTGTATTATAGTCCTGTAAATTATTTACGTTTTTGATATGCACTGCGCGTCTGTCGAATTTTCCAATGCTCCAAATTCAGAACAACACGGAATATCTGAAGATCCGTACGTTAAGTATAAAATTTTTCAACAATCGCTTAAATATTCCTATAGTTGTATTTTCTGAAAGTTCTCTCAAAATTTGGATTCGCTTCTATAAAGTGAGAATAGAGTTTGAGATGTTATCGAACATTCAAGTCAAACTTAAACAGCAAACAATTTCCTTGATTAGTATCTGTCACTGATAGAGGAACAAAAGATATCTATCAATCAGTTACCTTCGTCGTCAAATTTTCAAAAATTGTTTTATTTGTAGCGTTCTGAAATTTGACAGACGCGCCCTTCTTAATAGACATAGTGCCATAATAAATTACTTTGAAGGAAATCTTATATGATATAATCCGAAAAAACACCTATTGAATATAAAAGTTTCATAATGCTGTTAAACACTTACTGAGTCTATTGAACATTTCAAATATGAGTAACTATAATATTTGGATATAGCTAAACTTTGATACATTGTATATATTATAGCTGAAGAGTATGAAAAATTCTATACTACCTTTACCATTGCGTTTCTAATTTCTATATTAGTGGAATAAGGATAATGATGGAAATGTTGATGAAATTGTTAAAGAAATGTTTTGTATCTATATTCATTTACAAGTTACTATAAATGCCTTGCTATATTATTATTTTTTTGTATCCTGTCCATTCAATTAAGTGAATGTGAGAGTGAAGTTGGGAGGCACTATCGATGTGCATTTTTCTAAATAAAATAAATCCATAAATAATGAAATGCATCATGACTAGTTTCATTTCAGCCCCAGCGAGCACCAAAACATCTCAGAGATGTTAAAAGTACGAGATTTCGAGACACTGAACCTCCACTGCGATGTTCTGTTAACACATGAATAGAACTATTATAGAACAGCCAATGTCCGCCGCAGGCGGCAATTATCGAGATGTCCTTGATACGTCACAAAACTACCTTCCCCCTAGTTCTTTTGTAAGCCTTTTCATGGACACAACAAAACATTTTCAACGCGTCTTGCGCACATTAAATCGCTGTAAAAAAACATTTTCGAGGTACTTTTCTGAAGTCTATTGTCAAAATGAACTTTTGCATTTGCATTCCGATTCTCTTGAATGAAAAAATGCATTAAAAATAGATTGAACATAAAAATATTTTCTTGATATGAAATTACCTTCTTAATCGGTTTCTGAGTAGTGCTTACTACACACAGACATAATTGGAAATAGGTTTCCCAATTCTTGAAATGTTCTTCACAATGCATAATTTTGCAACTGCGGAGAAGCTGTGTATTGATAAATACGTACTTTCATATATTGATTACACTGAGGCACCGATAACAACACATCTTGCATCTGATGGTCATTATTACAAACTAAATAAGTCTTCTAACACAATAAACTTCACCAAATTCCTTTCTGTTCGTTAGCAGCGTGATGTAAGCGTGACACGCTGCAAACGCGAATGCCAATTGCGAACAAGTAGAACAAAATCGAAAACAAATCAGAATTCATCGTATTGTGACGTAAGCATGAGACGTTGTGGTGGGGCAAACAAAGAAAGGGCAAAAAAGAACAAAAACAATACTTTCAATATCCTTCTAAGACCTTTTTGGGAAGTGCATATTACGCCTCAAAAAAACATCCTCATGCCTACATTTCTGAAACATCCCAAAACATCCCAGGGATACCTCTCAGTAGGCAAACAAAGAAATGCCACAGAAGAACAAAAACAATACTTCAATATCCTTCAAAGACCTCTTTGGTCAGTGCCTATTACGTCTCAAAATAACATCTTCATGCCAACATTTTCAAAACATCCCAAAACATCCCAGGGATGTTTGTGCTCGCTGGGACACTACTGGTTTGGACAAAGAAGAAAAAAAAATAGTTCGCATCATGAAAATATATTCGAAAGTGGGTATAATCAGACGTTCTCATAGTCCGGAAACTCATCATCGCTACTTTTGATCCTGTATTCTTCTTCGATGGTATACATCTTAGTCCTTATTTTTTTCTCAATGTGTTTGAGGTAAAAGTAGAATATTATGATCACTGTTGACAATAAAATGAAAGAAATAATAACGAAATAGAGCACACTATCTAACTGTTGAGCTAAAATCATATAAATCAGCACGTATTTTTTTATTGTTGACAGTTTATCATTTTGAAGAACTTCTGAAGCATATTCGACAATGGTAGTCAAATTATGTTCCTCATTTCTTTTCTGTCTCTGAAAGCCAGTCGTAGTTAATTCTGTAATCTCATAACTAGCTGAAGATTTAGTTCTCGCTGGTATTGTAGTGTATCTCACTTGAAAGAGCGTATCTTGGCATTGGTTTGAGTTCCTCTGCAATGACAGATCCACGAATGTGTTTCCAATGCCTCCAGCAACAATTTGTACATCGCATTGTCTTGCATTTTCTTCTACCTCTATACAGGAAATTGTTGAATTGCCCTCGTAGTGTGCCTACAGAAACAAACTACCTTCAAAATGTAAAAAACTTCAAAAACGATAAGATTTCCACAAAATTTTTAATTTTTTTGCATCTTTTTTTTATCGCTTGGAGCGCACGAAAGGGAATCCCTATAACGTTCAAATAACATTGTGCGTTCCTAGGGAGGATAGGGATAGGAGGTAGGTATTGGAATTTCTTTTGAACTCCTGGAGATTATATGTTGTTGGGAATACTTCCTCAGGCAATGAATTCCAGAGCCTACCCTAACAACACCAGTACATCCTAGGGACATCCCATGGACGTCCCTGATTTTATACTAGGACATCCCAGGGATGTCCTTTGTCGGGACAACGTACATACTAGGGATGTCCCAGGGACATCCGCTGGCCGCTAAAAAAGGCATCCAAGGGATGTCCTACTGGTACGTCCCTGGGATGTACCAAGTACGATGAAAGGATATCCCTAGGACGTTCCAAGGATATCACTGGGACATCCTTTCGACAAAAAAAAAAAGTTGCAGGTCGAGTAGGGATTGAACCCGGGACCTTTGGCTTATCATGCACGCACCTTGCTCCATTGGCTATCATACCTCCTGAAGATTTATGTACTAAATAGACTTATAAAGAGGACTTAACTACAGAAACCTGAATAAATACAACTTTATTAGTAATTGGGTATAATTATTATCATTCTTGGGTGTTTAAAAATGAGGGGCATTATGCATGTACGATTTCTGTCTGCGAAAAATGGTAATTTCTTAAGAAGTTCTGAGACTTCATTCTTTAGTTTCATTACATTCATTTTCCGGAAGATAAACAAACATTTTCGAAAAAATTCAACTCAATAGTTTGACGAAATTCAATGACTCTGATGTGAATGGATATCAGATACTCCAGGGACACGAATAGGATAACCTAGGGATGTACCGGGCGGGATGTCCACTGGACAACCACTGCAGGACATCCCCTGGATGTCCCAATCATGTCCTTGTACCGCGGGACAAAAAAGGGACGTACCTAGGACATCCCTGTGTTGTTAGGGTAGCCGTTCTATGGATGAAGGAGTTTTGATAAAGTGCTGTTCGACATCTTTCGAGGTTGATAACGAAAGGATATGTGCTGACTGGGCTCGTCTAGTTCGTCTGACTGGTATTGCTAGTGAAGGGATGATAGCAGAGACCTCCGAAGAACATTTCCCGTGGAAGTATCGATAGAAAAGTGTTCCAATGATGTCAAAGAGTGAGTGAGTGTGGCGTCACCCACCAGGCGGATGGCTTTTCTCTGGATGGAATCTAAGAGCATCAGCGTATGTTTTGGTGCTGAACCCCATATGTGGGAACAGTATTCTAGAACAGGCCGTATCTGCGCTTTGTAGATCATGAGAAGCTGTTGAGGTGTAAAGTAGCTTCTCGCACGGAACAAGAATCCGAGTTTTTGTGAAGCAGCTTTTGCGATGGATCTGACATGATTATCCCATGAAAGAGTGTTGCTGATGGAAATACCGAGTATAGATATGGTGGGCTTGGTGGGGATGGTGGTGCCAGACATTACAATGTATGATATTTGTGGAACAAGTCGCGTACCTATAGGGAGAGTTTTGAACTCTTTGAGGTTATAAGTTCCTATAAATACTTCCATTGGCAAGGAAGTTCGAAGTTTCGCCGTTCTATAAACGACTGAATTTTGGTGGGACACCCTGTACTATTTTTTGGCACTCCCTAAATTCAATAATCAAATGCGAATCACAAAATAGAAAAAAAGTGTCCAAATCAGTTTTTCAAAATAGAAAACCCTGTATATTTTCACTAGCTTCATCAAGTGAAATACTCTTATAATTTGACTCATACCTACCCCTCCAACTATACGAGGTGGAAAAAACCTTCAAATCTGAAAGTTGTACGGTTAAATCTGGAATTCATTGCCTGAGGAAGTATTCCCAACAACATATAATCTCCAGAAGTTCGAGAAAAATTCCAATACCTACCTCCTATCCCTATCCTTCCTAGGAACGCACGATGATCTTTGAAAATTATAGGGATTTTCTTTCATGCGCTCCAAACGATAAAAAAAAGGATGTCACTCCTCGTAATTCTCAACATATTTTGGTTATTCAAAAACGTTTCTGGGATATTAATTCACTATTTTTTATTCTGTGTTCACACTTACTTTATATCAACGAAGTACAGAGTGGACCAGAAAAAAATGTTTTGCAAATGATATGATTAATATATTTTTCCATAATTCTATAAAGCGCGTCGATCAAAATTCTGAAATATATATCATTTATATATTATTATCGAATGAAATTTAGATCATTCCATTGGAAGAAACCATTTTTCTCTTTAGCACCCCGTAAAAAATTATCCCAGAAAAGTTTTTGAATGGCCAAAATATGTTGAGCATCACGGGGATACACATTTAGGGGGAACACCCTGTATATACTATCTTTTTGCACTTCTCAAATAAACATAATGCGAATCGCTAAATTCAAAAATCAGCCCAAATCGGTTTTCCTAAATAAAATACTTTGTATATTTTCAACTCTAGTGAAGCATTTTTAACTTATTTAGCATTGAATCAAATTTGCCAATAACATTTAGATGGTTGTGGACACAAACAGAAATGCCATAGAGACAAAACAAACAAAACATACATTCTTTGACAGTTCTATCAGTTTTTCAATTAAAATGAGTTATTCCGTAGAGGAAAAATACGAAATAGTAAGATTATACTATGAAAATGTTGCAAAAATTTCAATAGTGCAGCAACAATTTAATCTAAAACGGCTTGAGGGAACATTAGCAAACTATTATTTTTTCAATAATTATTGGTGAACAAAAGAAAAATATCTTTCACTACAGTTGAAAATATACAGGGTGTTCCAGTTGAAGAAACTGATTCGGACTCTTCACTTCTATTTCGCGATTCGCTTTTGTTTAGTTTAGGAGGGTCAAAAAATAGTATGGATGAAGCGTGAAACCCTGTACAACTTTCATATTTGAAGCTTCTTTCCACCTCGTATAGTTGAAGCTTCAGGTAGGGGTCAAAATATAAGGAGACACCCTGTGAGAATTTTGTGGAAATGTTATCGTGTGTGAAGTTTTTTACATTCACTATGGATTTACATCGAGTAACGGCCAAGTCATTTAGAAAAAAAGAAAACAGCTTCAGTTCTTCATTTGAGAAAAATTAGATCAAACAATGATGAGTATAGATAAGTATATTTTTTCTTATTTCTTTTTCAAAATAGGAATACCAACAGGACGATATCAGAGACAAGATCCACATAAAGGTATACTAACTATATATATCATGTTATTAGGTATTCAATTCCTTTATGTAGTGAAAAGATTTTATATATTTTATATGTAAAATATTTCTTTTTAACATATCATCTGATATCATCAATGCTGGAACAAAGTGTTTCTTGAGTTTTTTCAAATGCTCACAAAGATTGTTAAGGAGTCGGAAAAAATACCAATCTCTATTATGTTTTCAGGCATCGATGCTGAGGGGAGTTGAGATAGTAATGCGAGTGGAATATTGTGGAACATTGTAATGGATCAAGTTATTTATAGATGAGGAATGAATAATTCCATTCATCATTTCGAAAGAGAATTTGATATCAGCGATATCTCGTCTATTAGTAAAAACAATCAAATTAGATTTCGAATTAGGAAGTGATTTTGTGGCGTGTTTTTGAAATATATTTAGTTGATATAAGCAATGAATCTGTTCGGAATACTTTCTATTTGTTTCGTGTATATTATATAGTAGGTATTCCAAATGGTTGAGAAGAAGCATAACAGACTATTCAAGTATGACATGAAAAGAGTACACAAGGTATTATAATCTTTGAAAGGATGAGTTGGTCTCAAAATGAAACCTAGCATTCTGTTCGCTCTCTTAGAAATGTAAGAAATATGTTTATTGAGTCATTTTTGAATGGAAAATAATGTCCAAATCCTTCACTTTACTACAAATGTGGAGATAATGATCCTGCATGGTATAGTTATGAGTGATTAAATTAGAGTTTCTACTTAAAGTCATCTGATGGCATTTGTTGAGATTCAGGAAAAGGTAGTTATTTCTGCAGGACTCTAAGAATCGATCAAGGTCCTCTTGAATGAGCAAACAATCATTTAAGTGTGAAACTGTATGAAATTTGAGAATTTTTAACATTGAGAGATGTCATTTATATAAATATCGAAAAGCAGGGGATCTAGATGTGAGCCTTGAGGAACACCCGACCTTATATTTACTGATCTTGAAAGATAATTACCAATACGAACGATTACCTACGTAAGATTGAAACTAACATAATTTCGAAAATAAATTCCAAACTTACTCGACTTTCATTTTTTTGTATCGATAATATCGTCTCTGTCTCTCCGGTCGGAATATAATCTTGTGTTTCGTATTGAGAACAGTTCACTTTGACCCACTCAATATTTTCAGCTTCTGATGACAATAATTCAACCACCGTCATCATTATTGATACAAAATGAAGAACTTTCATTTCCAATTTCTTTTATCATCCAACATTTAATTCGACACAGGAACAAGTTATTATGAGTTCATATCACATCGAATAAGTACCTACACAGAATATTTGTTAATAACGCCGGTATAATCTATGATATGGGAATTCTCGGAAAAAGGTTGCAATATATATTTATCAATGATATGAATGCATCTTTATCTACATTTTTATTTGAAATCAGACATGCATTTATGTAATATTTATATTACGTATTCTTATATATAAGCTACCAAAGTACAACTACTTGTATTTTGAAATAGATTGATCTATTTGATGAAAGGGTATTTTGGTTGGTGGAAACAGCTGGTACTCAAGTTTTTCCGATTTCTCTTGAAGACACTGCAGAAAATTTTGAGAGTCATGTAATAGACGACTTCCACCATGCTGAGAAAACTGAATCCCATGCACAGTCCAAGAAGACCGCCAATATTAGCTAAAACATAATTATTTGAATAATCGAACAAATAATTGATGAAAAAACACTCAATAGTCAAGTGGTTCGAGCCCCCAGGCTCTACATACAGGGTCTCCCAATGAAAACTTGACCCCCCCCTAAAAAACCGAATCCGAAATCGTCGGGACCGGTCGATTTTTATACTTGGGAGGAGCATTTTTGACTATCATCTATCCATCCATCTATCTATCTGAAGCCCTTTCTATTGCGAATGCTTTGGTGCATCGTTTTTGGAAATAGGTTGATATTTGACAGCGTTATACAGTGTGTCCCACTTACCATGCTCACCATGGGTATCTTTTTAACGGTGAGAGATACGAGGTCGGTTAAATGACACCAAATGTGGAGTTTGTCAAGGCCAACTATAATGTGAAAAAATATTTTGATAAAATCTATTCGTTTATGTTTTATACGCAAAAACAGATTTTGATCATTTTCATGTCTCCTCCGTAACTTCTTTATTTATGGAAATATTCAAATAGGAATTTCACATTTTTCAAAGTGATTACGAAAAAAATATGAAATTTATACCAACTCTTCTAGAATTTGAGATATCAGCACCAACTTTAGTTTTTCAAATGTAGGTCATAGCTTACTAGGACTTAGTTACAAATAACTTTTTTTTCTCTAACCGATGATATGTCGCAGTAATAGTTTTGTGTTGATAACAATGGAGTTATCGTCATTTATACAAAAACAAAGAATTATTTGGAAGCCGCCATCTTGAATTTATAAATTTTAACGAAAAAATCATGATCTCCGACCTCAAAACCCCCCACTTACCAATTTTGAATGGAATCGGACCAAATTTTGTTATGGAATTTTTGTTGAAATTAATAAAAATGGCTGCTCCAAGATGGCGGACAAGATATGGTCCGATTCCATTCAAAATTGGTAAGTGGGGGTTTTTGAAGTCGGAGATCATGATTTTTTTGTTAAAATTTATGATTTCAAGATGGCGGCTTCCAAATAATTTTTTGTTTTAGTATAAATGACGATAACTCTGTTCTTATCAACACAAAACTATTACTGCGACATATCGCACCTGTAAGAGAAAAAAAAGTTATTTGTAACTGAGTCATAGTGTGAGCTATGACCTAAATTTGAAAAACTAAAGTTGGTGCTGATATCTCAAATTCTAGAAGAGTTGGTATAAAATTCACATTTTTTTCGAAATCACTTTGAAAAACTGCCATGAGAATGTGAAATTCTTATTTGAATATTTTCATAAATAAAGAAGTTACGGGGGAGACATGAAAATGATCAAAATCTGTTTTTTGCCTATAAAACAAAAACGAATAGATTTTATCAAAATATTTTTCCACATTATAGTTGGCCTTGACAAACTCAACATTTGGTGTCATTTAACCGACCTCGTATCTCTCACCATTAAAAAGATACCCATGGTGAGAATGGTAAGTGGGACACACTGTATAGCAAAACAACGTTACGCGAAGTCTGCTAGTCAATAATAAAAGTATGAACACTCACACAGAATTTCCGTGAATCCATACAACTGACTCTTCACTTGCTTAGCGAACTTTGAGGTCGGGAAAAAGAAATGGGCTACAGCCATATTCTCCCTAAAACAAAAAAAAAGGTGGGTAAGCCACTCACCAGTAGTTAGGCTAGTTGATATCTTCACCAAAAGCATAATAGTCCAAGAGCTGGCTGCTAAGTCGACCGTCATCTGATACCGAAATGACATATATATATATATATATATTCAATTAATATTAGTAGCTGTATAAATCAATAGATTAGGTATAGGTTTTGTGGGGATGCAGCTGATGTGGGACTCAAAAGAAAACTCTTTTTACTTTTGAGAAAGCTTTCGGAATTTATTTAATTCCTTCGTCAGTCTCTCTAAAATGGAATGCACAATTATAATATTCTGAAGAAATGGGTATTAAAAATTACTTACAGTATATGAGGTTGTAGAATTGCAAATCAGAGAGACTGACGAAGGAATTAAATAAATTCCGAAAGCTTTCTCAAAAGTAAAAAGAGTTTTCTTTTGAGTCCCACATCAGCTGCATCCCCACAAAACCTATACCTAATCTATATATATATATATATATATATATATATGTCCAGAATGCATTGAATTTTATCGATTGGCACCTGTGCCAATCATACAGGGCGTGGGAAGGAATTCTGAATTGAGACTCTATCACGAAACTGCGATTAGAGGTCTATATGATGAATGTCAATTTATCATACACCCAAAAGCAAAAACTGTCCAGATGACATGAATAGAATGTTGACAAATTTTCTCAGATGTCAAGATGTCATTTTGTTATAGTTCAACTCGGTTTTAGTTGTATTATAGAGAGATGAAAAATGTGTATATCATGAAGATTGGCTGTAGGAATAAGTGGACATCATGGTTACTGATGAGGATTTAGAAACTCGAAATGGTTTCATTGCAATAAAGTCATATAACCTGTGTGTGAGAGATAATATTTCCCATATCACTGATACGAATGATTATTTTTGGAAGTTTTCAAGCTCATCAATAAGATCAGAGTTTATGCCAGTATACTTCTCCTATACATTCCAATTTTCATTTCAATGCTGAATATATTGGTAAGTCATATTTCTATATCATTATACATCATATTATTCAATGTAAATTCTCAATTTCGGAGGATTTAATTTTTTATTTTTCATGTTCTCCTTTTGAATGTTCATCAGATATAATTCAAAGTATTTGTTTTCTGTTGAATATTCAGAATGATGTGTGCGTATACATATTTTTGTCTGAAGGAGAATGCAAATTCTCAATTTCAGAAGATTTCATATTTGATTTTCAAACTCTTATCGTGTGTGTTCGAAAGATATAATTCAATGTTCGTCGTGGCATATAGCCAGGAAAGTAGTTGTTTTCTATTGAATAAACTGAAAAAGAGTTGATATTCTCATCACATATAGGGAATGCGAATTCTCAATGTATTGCTTTATATAAATATATATCCATTTATGTATGTTCATAGTTTATCTGAGAATATTCCTTTTCAATACTCTCATACCCAATCAGGGGGTTCAAACTTGAACGATGGAAACTTGTGATATTTATAGACCTCTAATCGCAGATTCGTGATAGAGTCTCAATTCAGAATTTCTTCCCACGCCCTGTATGATGAATGTCAATTTATCATACACCCAAAAGCAAATAACTTTTATTTATTTATTTGTTTATATAATTCTTATCTCGTTATCAAAACGCGAAATGTAGTGCAAATAACCGCACTTTAAAGAGCATTTTTTCAATCATTTAGCTCAGCATAGTGATTGGCACATCAATAAAATACAATGTTTTCACATGCATTCGGGACATATTATGTCATTTCGCTATCAAAATGTACAGCCAACTCTTGGATTATAATCGTTTGAAGGAAAAAATCATCGAACTCACACGAAGTACGCGTTGATGTTATCTTTCGGATCAGTGAAAACAGTGTTATTGATGATTGTGTTGTTGAGTGTGGTGGATAGCTTTCCGAAAGACTTGACATCGGAGAAAACTAGCTCGAAACAACCGGGCAAACAATGGCAACTCGAGCTGGAAATGTTACCGTAACTCCTTTCCATGTTTTCTTTGGCATCTCCCACGCATTGCGAGTCTGCTTTCCCGCAAACTTTAATAGTTTTGTTTCCTAATAAGAAATTTTTTTAATTCAACATCCTGTGGTATACAGGGTGATTCAAAATTCGTAAAAACACCCCCTCCAAGCTACAGCCATTGCGTATAGGTTGGCTAAAAAAAAAGAGTAAGAGAAATTATTGTGAGCATAATAACGAATCAAGTGCAAATATTCCAGTACTGCACGCTTCTGAAATACCAGTTTCAAATGCGTTCCGTCATACGAGCACCTTCGCATGCAAGATGCAAGCGTTTAACCATAGATTAATGACATGGTTTAACCATTGATGAAATAAACCTCTGGTGCGCTCACTCTTCATTTGTTTCGTCAGACTGGTTCTTGATATAAACAATTGAATTTCAGACGATGCCGTGGGGTTCACATATCGAATGTAAGATGGCGTGATTCTTAGAACTTATGATCAACATCAGTTCTACCAACCTTGATGCGGCTAAATCGCAAAATGTATTCCCTATCTACATTGGTCACAATTCGGTCACAATTGTCACATTGATGCCTGTAATTTTGGTACGGCACCAGACTAAATTTAGCGACATTCACCCACGCCATGTGTCTGAAAACGAAAATATATTGACAGTCGTAGCTCTGTTCATCTTGGAAACTCTGTCTGATGAGAAAACATCCAGAAATTTGAAATGAATTCCTCTCAATAATCCACAAGACAAAGATCAAGGAAGAATTTCAAATTACCCTCACCTTCCTCCTCCTTAATCGATGATTCGTTTATCAATAACGAAATCATTAAGATGTTTAATCATTTGCCAATCGAAACTAAACAATCCAATGTAGATATTGACTGCTTCAAAAAAAAAATTAAAAAATACCAAGTAGTAGTCCCTACTATTGTTTGCAGGAACTTTATGACGATATTCTGGTGGTTTAATGACCTTTCTATTTATTTATTCGTTTTATGACTTATTCATACATATATTATTATTGTGTGTTTTGTGTACCGATACAT